GCCGGCCGGGCCCCAGGATCCTCAGCCAGTGGCCCTAGTGGGGTGGCCAATGGCACTGGCACCGGGGCGGGGGCAGGTGCAGGTGCAGGCTCCAGCTCCAACGCCACCGCCGAGGAGAGCGCCCCGTCTGGTGCAGCCTCGGCCTCCCCAGACACACTGCAGGGCCAGTGCTCGGCCTTCGTGCAGCTCTGGGCGGGCCTGCAGCCCATCCTCTGTGGTAACAACCGGTAGGTCAGTGGCAGGGGGATGGAGGGCAGCGAGGAGGACGGGGGGCATGGTCCTGACTCGGGGTCCCCACTCTCAAGGCCTTATTTGGCACGATGCCCCCACCCTGAGGTTCCTCCCACTCCTGTGTCCTGCCCGCGGATCAGGCCACATGCCCCACGCTGACGCCCTGCTCCCGCCCTGGAGGCGGCCCCGTCCCCCTCCCCGGACCCCCGCTGCTGACGCCCCGCCCCCTTCCCCAGCACCATAGAGCCCGAGGCGCTGCGGCGGGGCAATATGAGCTCCCTGGGCTTCACAAGCAAGGAGCAGCGGAACCTGGGCCTTCTGGTGCACCTCATGACCAGCAACCCCAAAATCCTATATGCACCGGCAGGCTCCGAAGCAGACCGCGTGATCCTCAAGGTGCTTGGGCTGTGCATGTCTTCCCTGGGCAGGAGTGGCAGGTCCTGGTGGAGGGCTCTGCAGGCCTGGGACCCTGAGGCAGAGAGGTTCCGTAGAATTGGCGTGAGAAGGGTGCAGCTTCATGCGGTACACAGCCTGGTCAGCCTGGTCAGCCTGGTGCATTGGCCTTCGAGCTCTGACTTGACTTGGCAGGTGGGACCTGTGGAGTTCAGAGGTTCAAGGAGCAGAAACAGCCACTTTCTCCCTAGGGAGCTTCTTGGTGCTGCCATGGGCATGCACTGGAGAGGCTGGTCTGGGCAGGGGCCAAAGAAGTGCTGGTAGATGAGAGGGTATGTCCAGAAACAGCTGAGCGGTTTGGGGCCCAGAGTCCTGGGAGTAAGGGATCCCTAGGATAATGGTGGGAGAGATAAGGGCCAAGCTCAAGAAACGTGTGGAGAGGGGTCCAGCAGTGGTGCTGAGTAAGCACAGCTGGTGAGGTGGGGTGTCTGGGAGACCGTGCTCTAGGGGGGCTGAGGGCAGGGTGAGTTTCTGTGGGTGCTGCAGAAGGGCTGGGAGCCTCCAGGTGGCAGTTTGGCCAGAGCAAGGTTGGTTGTTGTTGGGGGTGGGGCAGTCTCTGGGGAGGTGGGGGAGAGGGGGACCCTGGGGGAGAACCCCACGCTGGCCAGGGTCCTTCCGGTTGCCCCATGCCCCATACCCTCGCTCTTTGCAGGCCAACGAGACTTTTGCCTTCGTGGGCAACGTGACTCACTACGCCCAAGTCTGGCTCAACATCTCGGCCGAGATCCGCAGCTTCCTGGAGCAGGGCCGGCTACAGCAGCACCTGCGCTGGCTGCAGCAGGTGCTCCGGGTGCTGGGCTGGGCAGGTGGCTGAGGGTGGCATGGGGAGCCCATCCTGGCCCTGGGCTGCAGCAGGTGCTGGCCACCCTCTGAGCCGGCCCTCCACCCCCAGTACGTGGCAGAGCTGCGGCTGCACCCCGAAGCCCTGAACCTGTCACTGGACGAGGTGCCACCAGCCCTGCGCCAGGACAACTTCTCGCTGCCCAGTGGCACGGCTCTTCTGCAGCAGCTGGACACGATTGACAATGCGGCCTGCGGCTGGATCCAGTTCATGTCCAAGGTGGGGTGGGCGGGTGCTGCGGCCCCCACGTGCATTCCCAGGGCCGACTCCAATGGTGCCTCTCCCCCAGGTGAGCGTGGACATCTTCAAGGGCTTTCCCGACGAGGAGAGCATCGTCAACTACACACTCAACCAGGCCTACCAGGACAACGTCACCGTGTTTGCCAGTGAGCGGCCTGGTCCCTCTGCGGGTTGCCAGCACCCCTGCCTCTGCCTTGCTCCTCCCCTAGCCTCACCCCATGCCCCCTGCCCCGCAGCCCACCTCAGTGCCCTTACCCTCCCACTCCTGGGCCCCACCCTGGCTGTGCCTCCCTCACCTGCCTGCTCTGGTCCCATCCCCCCAGCCCCACCTCCTTCCCCGCCCCACCCCTGGATCCCACCTGTCTCGGGTCCCCAGGTGTGATCTTCCAGACACGCAAGGACGGCTCCCTCCCACCCCACGTCCACTACAAGATCCGCCAGAACTCCAGCTTCACCGAGAAAACCAATGAGATCCGCCGGGCCTACTGGCGGCCGGGCCCCAACACGGGCGGGCGCCTCTATTTCCTCTACGGCTTTGTCTGGATCCAGGGTGAGGGTGGGCGCAGGGCGCGGGGCACTGGGCGTGGGGCGCAGGGTGTGGGGCACGGGGCACGGGGCGCGGGGCACGGGGCGTGGCCAGCCCTGACGCGACCCTGCCCGCAGACATGATGGAGCGCGCCATCATCAACACCTTCGTGGAGCACGACGTGGTGGAGCCCGGCAACTACGTGCAGATGTTCCCGTACCCCTGCTACACGCGGGATGAGTGAGTGCCGCCCGCGGGGGGCGGGGGGCGGGAGCTCAGGCCAGGCCCCCTCACGTTGTCACCCACCCCAGCTTCCTGTTTGTCATCGAGCACATGATGCCCCTCTGCATGGTGATCTCCTGGGTCTACTCCGTGGCCATGACCATCCAGCACATCGTGGCTGAGAAGGAGCATCGCCTCAAGGAGGTGGGGGCCCTGGGCAACACGGGCACCTGCTCCCGGGTTTCCTGGCACCCTGCCCCAAGGCCCCTAGCCCCTCGCCCACTGCCCGCAGGTGATGAAGACGATGGGCCTGAACAACGCCGTGCACTGGGTGGCCTGGTTCATCACGGGCTTCGTGCAGCTCTCCATCTCCGTGACAGCACTGACTGCCATTCTCAAGTATGGCCAGGTCCTCATGCACAGCCACGTGGTCATCATCTGGCTCTTCCTGGCCGTCTACGCTGTGGCCACCATCATGTTTTGGTGAGCACTGGCCGGCAGGCTGGGGAGAGCCCTGTTCAGGCCCTGGCCGGGTCGGCCCACCTGCTGGGTCACACGCTCCCCTGGTGGCGGAAGGGTGTTCCTCGAGTTCACACCCCACTCGGAGCCCCGGGAGGCACCTGGCCACGGGTTGGGTGGCTGATAGCCATGTGGCCCCCGCCCGCCCGCCCCAGCTTCCTGGTGTCCGTGCTGTACTNTGATTTGTGTCCCTCGCCCCAGTCTGTATCTCCCAGCCCCTGGCCAGGGTTCTCCTTAGCCCGGCTGCAGCCCCTCTTTCCCAGCTTGTAGTCCCTCTGCTGGTGTCTTCCCTGTTCTACCCCTGATCTCACTCTCCCACCTGCCAGCCCCGCCTCCCCACCAAACCCATAGCCCTCCCTGTGCCTAAATTGGCCCACATGCTCTGTCGCCCCTCAGCTGGGCCTGGATGCCCCCAATGTCTCGGACTCCCAGCAGACGGCCCCACCCCCACGGAGGCTGCAGGCGCTCCTGGGGGACCTGCTGGACGCCCAGAAAGTTCTGCAGGATGTGGACGTCCTGTCGGCTCTGGCCCTGCTGCTGCCACAGGGCGCTTGCACCGGCCGGGCCCCAGGATCCTCAGCCAGTGGCCCTAGTGGGGTGGCCAATGGCACTGGCACCGGGGCGGGGGCAGGTGCAGGTGCAGGCTCCAGCTCCAACGCCACCGCCGAGGAGAGCGCCCCGTCTGGTGCAGCCTCGGCCTCCCCAGACACACTGCAGGGCCAGTGCTCGGCCTTCGTGCAGCTCTGGGCGGGCCTGCAGCCCATCCTCTGTGGTAACAACCGGTAGGTCAGTGGCAGGGGGATGGAGGGCAGCGAGGAGGACGGGGGGCATGGTCCTGACTCGGGGTCCCCACTCTCAAGGCCTTATTTGGCACGATGCCCCCACCCTGAGGTTCCTCCCACTCCTGTGTCCTGCCCGCGGATCAGGCCACATGCCCCACGCTGACGCCCTGCTCCCGCCCTGGAGGCGGCCCCCTCCCCCTCC